GAAAAGTAAGAAGTGATCTCAGCCCTTGATCACTTAAAAGTGAATTGATTTGAATGCCTTTCAGATTGAATTGTTAGCTGAAATTTGGTATGAGTAAACTAGATTTAATGAATAAGATTTTCAAAAAATTTCATCAAAAAAATCCACCGGAAACTGCCCCAAATGGCGATTACCGGACATAGTCTCTTCTATAAGGGCTTATTTGACCTTTTTAGGTAAGCTCGAGGGCCTATTTCACCCTTTTCCATATTAAATATTAACGGTAGATGGGATTCATCCGTTTTTTAGTATCACCCATATACTCCGTACTACATAGTAGATAGAACTCTAACATTAAATAAATTAAATAATGTTGTAAATTCCTGAGAATAACAAGTGTGAATTGTTCATCTTTGTCATCATGACACTAATCCAATTCCAATCCTTGTAATAGACAGATGACTAAGTTTAATGTTACCAGCAGATTTTGTAGAATCATTCTTTGATGATTCATCTCCTGGCCAACTAGTATAAATAGGGTGATCAATCCTTTGTAAATGTAACTTAGAAATTTCAGAAAATTTTAAGAGATTAAGAAGAAGATATTCAGAGCTTTTATTAATATATCTATCTCTTAACTTTAATCTTCATCTTCTTCATTTCACAACACGTTATCAGCACGAATCTGCTCAAAACTCTTCAAGAAATCATCAGCTCCTGCAGGTATAAACACTATAAATTCATATCCATCTTTATATTAAACAAAAACATAATCTTATATATGCACATACCTTTGGAATATACTCTCCATCAATTTATGTCATCCGAATGCTTTCTTTGTTTGTACAAGGAGAAGAAAATCACAATTATCTCTAATATCAATATCCCTTAATAAGGAGTATGTGAAGTAATAAATAAAGAAGGAGAAAGCTAAAATATAAAAGTATATGTATGCCTACGTACTAAAAAAAATAGATGTAAATGAGATGATAAATCTGGAGTACTGCACTACGTACTCCTAAATTCAACTGATGTTCCATTACCTACTCCTAGTTGCTATGTACTCTCTATATATTAAGATGAGGAGCTGTATGCATAGTCATTTATCACGGGTATAAATCAACAAAACAATAGTATTTAAGTAATTAAAATGATCAGACTTCGTGCAGTGAGTTGCACTCAGTCTGAATAAATTTGTCTTTCCTCACAGAACCTCACGGGTAGTATAAAAACTAATTACACCGTTAGATTGAATAAATGAATTGTAAAATAGAAACAATTTGCTGCAATCATAATGTTTTATACAGTACAAACTAACGCTTAATAATGCTCCGTAATAAATTATTAAGTTCGCTTAGCTTATGACTGTCTGACACACTATACACTAAACAAATTTCAGAATTTGTTGTTACAAATCTTAGTGTATGGAGTCTTAGAGTCTTACATATTTATCTATATTTAAATAAATAGAATAAAAGTTATTACTCCAATTTCTAAATTGAAACATGATTCTATTTCGTCGATATGAATGAATACATTTATTAACTTTTATGGAACAAATAATGTTCATATTTACAATTTTACTAAACCAATAATTTTTGTAGAATATCATGACAAATATTAGCAAACGTGAATTCGACGTTCTTGATCTGTCCGGCCAAAAATATCTTGAATGGAAAGTTGATGCTTTAGCACATTTGAAGGCTAATGGTCTTGAAGACACCATTGAGGCTGATAATCAATCATCGTCCCAGGACAATTTAAGATTCCAGGATTTTAAATCAATCAGTGACTCTGTCATGTTCCAAATGACATCTAAGTTAAAGTTATGCGGACAAAAAGTCACTGATGCTGATATGTTGGAAAAAACCTTTTCTACCATGCATATTTCTAATATGCTGCTACAGCAGCAATATAGAGAAAAGGGTTTTAAAAAATACTCCGACTTCATATCAATATTATTGGTAGCTGAGCAAAATAATGACCTTTTGATGAAAAATCATAATCTGAGACCCACTGGTTCTAGTCCTTCGGTTTATGTTCCATCTGGCCATAATTTAGCTACTGAATTAATGCAACATACAGTGGCACTAGAATGCATTTTAAACGTGGTCATTTTAATGGTCATAAAAACAAGTCACACCGAGAATTCAAACAGGTCGAAAGACCAAATTATAAGGGCAAGGGCAAACAAAAGGCCCATCAAATAAATCGCCCTATAAAATCCTCGGTGAAGACGACTTGTTACAAGTGTGGCATGACAGGGCACTGGGCTAACAAATGCCGTACTGCAAGGCATCTGGTGGAATTATTTCAAGCTTCCATGAATTTGAACAAAGGCAAAAATATGGAAGCTAATTATGTCAATGACACAACTCCACCTCTGCCAAAATTTGACGTGTCTGACTTTTTCGTGGATAATGCCATTATGGACGATGCTTTTGCCATAAACCAAAATGTTACTGAATAAAATAGTAGACTCCTGATGTTGTACAATACTAGTCATTTTCTTTCTTCCCCGTTTTATTTTGTTTTTAAATAAATATATGTAATGTATATACTCTTAAGTTAAATAATCCTATATACTTAATAGGAATACAAATGCATCTGCACCCTTCATTTTGAAATGATCTGCACCGTTCATATTTCTTTTCACTCCGTTTCTTTTCTAATCAACCGACCCACTCTTTTCATTTTTTTCTCTTCCTGCTCTTATCACTGATCCCTATTATTTTCTCCACCATTCTCTTATCTCTTATCTCTTATCTCCAAATTCCTTCATTTCAATGGAGCAAATGAATAAAACTTTCCCTTTTTTAGGAAGAAGGAGGTCTGCCAATAGAGAGAATTCTTTGCCGGATGAAAGAATTCTGCCAATAGATCCGCCTGCTCCATGACAAATCGTAAATTGATTTCTGCCGGAAGAAAGATTACTTGCCGGAAGAAAGTCCATAAAAAATGCTCCATGTCCGCAGGTTTTTATTCGAATTTAGTTAATTTCAAATCAACTTTCTTTAATTTCAAATCAACTTGATTTGTAATTTCTTCTCAAATTCTGTTTTACTCTTTTTGACAGTAAGTGTTTCTAGCATTTACTGAGTTCTAAAACGACCCTAAGTGTTTCTATTCTTTTTGACAACTATTCTTGATCATTCCTACAATTCTATGGAAATTCTAGATGGATTTCTTCTCAAATTCTGTTTTTTACAAAAATTCCTTGCCGGAGGAAAGATTACTGCCACGACACCCTGAAACATCTGCAATTTTTTATACTTATTTAGTTAAATTTCGAATCCAATTTAATTAATTTCAAATCAAGTTCAATGGTAATTTCTTCAGAGCTTCTGTTTTTTTGACAATGTATTACCTTCTTTCTAAGTCCAGAACAAATTTCCCCCACATGTGAATAGATAAATTCAACCACCTTCAGAAATGATTTTTTTTAATTGATGTTTAACATTTTTATGTTTTAGTAATATTCTACTAAAAGTATGCTAATTTACATATTTTCATACATATATAATAGGATGAGCTATATTAGATATTTTTATGTATTAGAGTCCCTCAACGTAAGCTATTCCTATATAATAGGATGAGCTGCTTAACGTAAGTTTTATATATTTTTATTTATCTAAAAATTTCCCATTATTCTCCCCACACTGATTTTATAAATTTATATTCTTCTAAACTTAAAAGGAGACCTCCATACTTATCTCTCTCTAAAAAATTATCTCTCTTTTTAGGGAGGACTATTTCTCTTTTAAATAATTCCATCCCTATTTAGCATTCAATTAATGATTAGAGTCCCTCAACGTAAGCTATTCCTAAATAATAGGATGAGCAGCTTATCTCTCTTTCGATACTTCTCTCTCTGCTAACTGATTTTTTATTTACTTGAAGTGTCCTACACCAACTCTACGTCTATAGTTTTCCCATAGCTATATATAATACCCCTTACTCTAAATACATTATGTGAGACCCCTTTAGTTCCCATACCCCTTTAGTTCACAAAACAATGCCTCCCGTTAAAAAGATTTTATCTGACGTGACACTTCAACTCCAACGTCATGAAGCCTTTTTATTACGTGTTGTTCGTAAGTGGATGGTGCCATATGATGATGCACTAAGGGGCAATAAATCCATGGAATTGGTTTTAGTTGATGAGAAGGTAACAAATCCATGGAACTGGTTTTAGTTGATGGGAACTAAACCATTGAAAAATGTAAAAGTGCTGAAATATGTTTTAGTGACTTTTATTCATAGTATCTGTGTTGAATTGATTATATGCTTTTGGTTTATTTGTGATGCTATTCGTAATAAATAGCATGTGGTTTTACTTGATGAGAATGTAAAAAATCCATGGAATTTATTTTAGTTGATGGGAACTAAACCATTGAAAAATTTAAAAGTGCTGAAATATGTTTTAGTGACTTTTATTCATAGTATCTGTGTTGAATTGATTATATGCTTTTTGTTTATTTGTGATGCTATTCGTAATGAATAGCATATGGTTTTACTTGATGAGAATGTAAAAAATCCATGGAATTTGTTTTAGTTGATGTGAACTAAACCATTGAGAAATTTAAAAGTGCTGAAATATGTTTAGGGACTTTTTCTCATAGTATTTGTGCTGCATTGCTAACATGGTTTTGGTTTATCTGTGATGCTATTCGTAATGAATATGTCTGTAATGGATACTATCTGTAATGAATATTAATATATGAATGGCTTTAATGAACATATATTTGTTCACAGTTCAGAATTTAATTATCCAGTATAATGATCTTAATTTAACACCTAGCTGTGAGTCTGTGACCATCAAGCTGATATGTTAATTAAAGAACAAATCTTTAATCAAACTGATTTGTTCATCTGCTTTGTGAAAATGACAAACCATACTATTCGATGAAATGTGCTAAGTTTCTTCCATTGGATTCAATCATTAAAACTTCTAAGAAATCTAAGTATCTTATCCTACACATCTTTTATAGATATTTTTATCCAAATGATAATTGTTCTTAATGATCCTTGGAATCTTTTTATAGGAAGTTCGCATTCAAGCATCTATATCCCGTACGGAAATTCAACTATTTGAAAGCCAGTTGGAAGAAGGTGGGTTGTATGCCATGTGTAATTTCACTGTCAAGGCGAATAATGGAAAGTGGAGACCGGCATCACACCCTTTCAGGTTACAATTCCATGAAGGAACTAAGGTTAAGTGTCAGGAATTAAAAGACCATAAGGACTTTCCCCTACACATTTATAATTTTACTTCTTTCAACGATATTCACAACTGCCCTGATGGAAAAAGTACTACAGATCTCATTGGTAAGAGTTTAGTAATATAAAAATACTTATATGTAGAACTTTATAATAAACACAAATCATATAACTGCATCTATATATGGTCACCTAAATGAGTTTCTATTTCTTATTTTTAGATGTAATTGGTGTGTACAATCCCCTCGACAAATTCAGTAAGCATTATACCGATTCAGGATCAACATACACTAACTTTTATATTCGGGACATCGAGTTAAGTATATCAAATTGGCCCCGTTTCCAATTGTATGTTATTAAGATTATCTATATTTATCTTTCATTCTCATTCTTACGCTTATCTTCTTTCTTTATAGGAATAAAAGTCTCTTTTGTACTTTATGGAATGTGTATGTGGACCAGTTTGAGACGTATTTATCTCAACCGGGAACAAATCCAGTTGTTATCTTGCTACAGATGTGCCGTATTAATCCAAAATATGGTTAATTACATGCATCTATTTCTTATCATTGAGACATTATTTTTATTTTTATAGTTTTTAGTTGATAAAAACATATGCAAATATATGGCTGTTTTAGGCAGATGTTCCTCAAACGGTGTAGCTACATCTTACCATGTGACAAAACTTCTTCTTGATGCACATGTCCCAGACATAGAAGACTTTCGCCTTAGGTAAAATGATATCTAAAATATTTTTGTATTAGTTACCACTTTCAACATGTATTATTCTCAAGTCTATTATAGAATAATGTTGGGTTAAAAATGCACTAAAATCTTTATTCTGGTAATAGGTATCTGGAAACCACACGTAACACTTCTCAAGCAATAAGTCACAGTTCCTCTTTTGGTCCAGTAACCGTTGGTAGCGGTACAGAAATTGGCTTCACAATGCCATTGTCTGAATTGGAGAAAGCAGTCGAGGTAAACAAAAATACATTTTCAACGTTGTTATTCTACTTTGAAATGAAATCTGTACAACTTAGTGATTTGAAAAATGAACATTAATCTCTTAAAAGGTAATAGATCATTATAAGCTCAAGAATTAATAATTTGGAATGTAGTGATTCATTTGAGTATGTATACAGATGTGCATAAAATACATAAATTTACCTGTTACTAAAATTGTGCCTACTGCTAATATGTACACTTTTATGTGATAATAGGTTCGTGGTTGTTGGTTCTATGGTCAAATAAGTTCCATAACAAGCTATTTCACATGGGCTTATCTTGGTTGTAAAATGACCAAATGTTATAAAAAATTGAGCAAGGCTGGGAATGGAGAATTAGTATGCGACAAGTGTGGGATTCAAGTTGCTGATGGAGAGGGTGTTTGGAGATACAATTTAAGACTCAAGGCTAACCATAACAATAATTCTGCAAATTTGGTTTTCTGGGATGCTGTGAGCAATCGTTTGATTGGAAAATCTGCTGGAGATTTCCCCAGTCACTATTATGACATGGTAATGCTACCTCACAGTATACTTAATTTGCACAATTTTTTATCATTACAAATGCAAATCCATTTGATTTGATTTTAAATTTAGTAATATGAATAAATCCGACTTCAATATGTGCAATTACTCTGCATGTGTAGGAGAGGCTATCACCTTCAGGCTGCCCAGATGAAATAAAAGATTTGGTAGGTCGTGAGTTTGTCTTTAAAGTTGACCGTCAATCTGGCTCCCCTTTAAACGGAAAGAGTTATTCAATTGGTATGGTCTCAACCGATCAAGATAAAATTGAGGAGCTTAAGTCTGTTGGAGCCAATCAATCTGGGAGACAGGTACAATTCTCTGTAATTTTACACTGACCAATGGTACACAAGATATGCACTTACATGAATTTATAATCCTATTAAATTCATTTAGGTATTCAATTATTATTGGAAAAATGATTTAGTGTAGAGATAAACTTTACTTGGGAAATTGTGAAAAATATCACACGTTTTTCTTCAATCAAAATTTACAAGAATCAGTAAGTTCTTCACTTGATTATATTATTCCTTTCGTTTTCCATGTTCACTACTCTTCTAAGAACTTGCTCATTTTTATAATAACTTTTTAATTTTAGACATTAAAATTTTATATGCTATACCACTTATGTATTTAATTTCACTTTTGGTTTGTTCATAGCAACTTTGGTCTGTTCCCAGCCAAACGCAGGTTCATATAAAACTTATCCACCTCCAGTTTAGAGGTAGTCTTCTTGAGTACAATTTTTGAAACTTCAGGTAAATTCTTTCACCTATTTTTCGAATTTAATCCCAATTAGTCCTAAAGTAATCAATTTGATGATTCTGGATACACACATTCATCAAAAGTTTTGGTGTTTAAAACATATACAAAGGAGTACTGCCTGGATAAATATGATGAATCCTAACTTACATTCTTAATTTAACGAAATAAAGTGTACTTGAGTAATCATAATGTGTTGATTATCTGAATGATTGGGCAGATTAGTTTGGTTAGTCTATGAACTCTCTCTTAATACGTATCTCTTTGTTAATAGTAATTATCTCTACTCTAATAGATTTCATTTTTATTCTAATTACGATTACATTTATTAAAACTATATGTAAGTTGTACATTAACTTAACACACATGAAGCACCAGAATGACAAGCTGCATTCAACACAACCAAGCTTTTAGGAAATGAACTCCCCAGAAGGAAAAGTTCTATTTTAATTATTTCCATGTAACTAAATCAAACTTTTGAAATTGCACTTTTGAAATTTAAAAAAATGTGTACCTTTCCCAATTAGTTATGTAACCAGTTACTGAATAAGTATCAAATGTCATACTCACATGTTAGATTGAATAAATATTCTTAGCAAAGAAGCCTGAAAGGCTGATTGTTATTTCTATAATAATTTAATAAACGTATTCTGAAGCAGGACTATTCAACGCTCATATAATTTAATGAGTGTACTGTGATGAGGATCTTAATGAGGTCTCCTTTTAAATGTTCAGGACTATAACTCTGATGAGGATCTTGATTTACTTTTTTCTTCTCCAGTCACAGTTGAATCTAATATAGTAAGTACTTACTGTTTATTTATCCATCCGAATATGTTTGACTCTTCACTCCTAATTGACAAATGTTTGCATGTAGACACCATCTTCAACTGAAGACGACATCATAATACAAACCACCCCTTCTTCAACATTAAAGAGGCCTTCAAACGTTGAGCAACATGTTGACTCTTCTACGCAGAGTTCAACAAATAAGAAACTCAAGGGAATCAAGATTGAAAAGCCGGATGCTTGAGCATTATCTTTTCGTTTACTTTGTTCTTTTACTTTTCGGAATTAATGTTATTTATCCTGTTTATTTGTGTTTTAGTAAGTTAGCTTCTGTTTCAGACACTAGATACAGTTCCTTTTATGAACGAATAATATTCATTTGCAATTTCTAAATGCAAATGATGAATCAATATGCCAAGCTCGACTGGAATAAATCTTTTCACTTCTATATACTTCGTATTATTTTTAGGCATCGTTGCTGGATTTTGATTACTCGAATTTCGTACTATGAACTATAAGTTATATCTCATGTATAAATTATACTCCGTATTGTTCTACTCTTATTGAAATTGCTTTATATTTAAATCATGTTAGATTCTGTAGATAATGTTTATTGACTATTGAGTATTGTTTTAAACAAAAGAGACAATGTCAATTGTTATGGACTCACTTCTTAAGAAGTTAAGGGATGTTCAATGACATACATACTTATTGTGTAACCAAGAAGAAAATAATCTTTCTGTGATAATGTTTTGAGAATGGCAGTCACTAGATGACATCACCTATCACTTTTGAGAATGGCAGTCACCTAGGCTTCATGGAGCTTGACTCCACAAGCATTTTTTAAGATAGAGTTGTTGGACCAGTTCCTGGTGAAGAGTCCAGGATTGGAGGAAGTCCAATTGGACTGAGCAAAGAATCACACGTATGGAGTTATTAAATAAACTCCATTGAGTATTTGGATAACTATGATCTTCAATTGATAATATTTATCCATATTGCTTAGAAGATTGTATTTCACTACAACTACACTACTATTATTGAAAGATAACGTTGAATGAGAAGAGGAATCTACTATAATTCTATCACACTCCTATATATACCTAATATCATGTTATATATTCTTAACAACCACAACACATATAAATTAAAGTTATGTTTCTTTCAAATTGCTTTGCTATCAACTTTTGTTAACAAAGAGATATTGTGAAGGCTTGCTCCTGCAGTATAATACTTCACGTATAGTCAGGAATTACTAAATGACCAACCTTCCTCCCTTGCGGTAATAATATGTCAAGTGTCATTTTTGTTCCTATGCTACAAGGCTTATACTTTGGCTCCACCATCTTCACTCCAATCATTCAGAACTTTTATATTACAAGGTTAGTTATACTGTCTTGGTTTGTATAGAATTTAGTTTTTTTAAATACCATCGTTGATAAACCAGAAGTTATGTTTTTATAAACGAAATTGAACTTCTATACAAAATCTCACAAAACAATTTTTATTATAATAAAAACAACACTTATTTAAAAGTGTGACATTAGATATAAAAAAACTCTTATTAGAGTTGGCCTCATATTCAACTAAATGTGGTAGTTATCTATTCTGTTAAATTTGTATCCTTAATCTAACTGTATCTATAATATTTGTATTTATATATATTTGAGGTATAATTAACCCTCAAATTTCCTTATATATTATTACTAATTAATTATATTTAAATCATAAATATACTGTTCCGAATAAAAATTCGGACTTATTAGACATTTCTGTTATTTTCAGAAAATTGTGAATAGAATTATAATAACCTTTTATTATTCAAGTATTAGTTGTACGAATCACGGGAATCTGCATACCATTACACCTTAATAAGATCTCATTTGATAAATCAATCCAATATATTTAGGTTTTCCATTTCAAGTACCAATAAATTTACACAATAAATCACGCATAAAATCATTTAGTAATACGTAGTATAAAATTTATAAAATGATTTTCTTAGTAATCCTGTGTATAGTAGACTTATTTTTAATTACAATAAAGGTTACAAGTATCATTACATTTCAGACTCTTCGTATGTTTTCTTACTATCACTATATTTGCATTTATGTACTTGCATTAGGCTTTAGATGCAGAAAGGCACGGAGTTAATAAATGTCCATGGAAAATGACCACTTGTGAGTGACCAGTCAACATATGAGGAAGATGTAGCTGGGTCTAGCGATTTTGACACTCTTGATTGTGGTATAGACCTAGATAATGAAGGTAAGATATTTGATTAAATAATTTGACATTAATGATAAATTGTTAAATGTCTATAGTTTATTCTTAGAGAGTATACTTCTTTTATTGGAGAGAAAATTGTAAAAGAAAATATTATACCTCAATAATTAAGTATCTTCTAATATTTCAATAAATCTAAAATTCAAGTTTTTAAATAAAGTATGGTAAAGTGGTAAACTAATACTACCTCTGTCTAAATGGACTTTGCACTCTTTGAATTACAAGAGAAATCACAATAATAAAAATTGTGGATGCATTTTGTGCTGATAGATAAATGATCAGAAAAATAAATTCTTTACTTTAATCGGAAAGTGACAAAGTTTTTTGGGACAACAAAAAAATGAAAGTTGGGAAAGGCCAATGAGACGGAGGGAGTACCATATACTCCGTACATTATATATGCACTAAAGTATTTTCGTATTATACTATACTTGCTCCGTTTCTTAAAGGTTACAACAATAGGATTTTTTCACTATTCACGTAGATTACTTTGACTATGATTTTCTACAAATATTTATAATCAAATTATTATGTATAAAATGTTTTTAAATTTCTATTAATGTAAATTTTCAAAATATTAACATTTTATAATTTTTATTATTACTTAATAATTATATAACTACAGTCAAAGTTGTTTGTTGGCAAACGTGAAAGTCAAAGTATTGCAACTATTTAAGAACGAAGGATAGTATTATATTGACAAACAATCAAATTTAATATTAATTCACACCTACATCTAAAATCTTAAACACAGTAAATGTGTACATATAATTTGTCATTTTTTCAGAGTTTGAAGATGAAGAAATGTTTGATGACTCAATTGATGTTGACTTGGGTGAATTTGAAAATAATGGTACGTAACAGTAAATTTTCACACACTGAACATATATGTTATTGCGGTGTGAAATGTGTTCGTATCCTAAATTGTTGGTCTGTGATATTTTTAATTTTTAATTATTCAATTTTGAACAGATGACAATGCTGAATACTTGTGTTTTCAAACACAAGGTACTTACCCCTACAACTATTTTTAACTCTATTTTTAATCACATTTTGATAGTTGAGAAACATCTTTATTTTTTATATATATTCAATATGAATAATTTTTGTAGCATATGTGGATCTTGGAGATGCTACTCATGAGTGCGAGT